AGACCTGCGCAGGGGTTTTGAGGGAAAGAAAAATTCAGGATGATTTCAGATGTTCGACTTGGACATTTGGGTGAAAGGTGGTGCTATAAACTGAGATGGAAGATTTGAAGAAGAATGGATTTGGGGAGAGAAGGGTAGAAAGTAGGATACCATCAAGAATGTGAAAATATGTATATGAACATGTGAAAATGTGATGTTAATTTGACATCTACGTAGAGATAGCAAGTAGGCTGTTGGGTATGCTTCTGGAGTTTGAGGTTAGGCTTTCAAAAATTTGGAGGTTATTGGGACCAGATGAGATTACCCCAAGGAGGCATAGTACAGATTGAGCAGAGGAGAAGCCAACAAAGAATGGAAAAAGTCAACCAGTGGAATGGGAAGATAGGAAAGTATGCTGTCTTTGAGTCAAGGAAGAACATGTTTCAATGGACAAAGAGTGGTCATTTGTGTTAGATGCTGTTTAGAGGTTGAATAAGGAAGAGTTAAGAAATGACCATACAGTTTGGCAATGCTGAGGCCATGGACCTTGAAAACTTTTGTTGGAATGTCAGGGATAGAAGAAACTTGATTGAACTGATAGAATGAGAGAAAGGAAACGCAGATGAGTATAGGTAGCTCTTTGAAGAGGCATGGCTATGAAGGAGATAGCTGGAAGGAGGTGTGTGATCAAGGGAGAATTTTTAGTTTTTGTTTTTTCTAATTTTGTTTTTAAGATGAGAAGTTCTAGACTTGTCCTTCTCAAATGTAGTCTCTTAACTTGGGAACCTGTTAGAAATAGGACATTAGGCCCTAACTCCAGACCTACTGAATCAAGCTCTTCCTTTATATGAGATTCTCTAGCTGATTGTATACATGCTAAAGTTTAAGAAGCACTGTTCTAGGGGAAGGAGGGCTCTCAAGCAATCTGTGATGCAGGACCAATTCATTTTTCCTAATTCGTCAGGGACCTACATGTGGGGCTATATATGCTTTGTACATACATAGCTTTCTCCACATGCACCTATGTGAGTTCATCATTGTCTTTACTGGTCTAGACCCTGGTCATGTGTTTGGATGTTGTAGTATCTGTCAACTAGCTCCACAAACGGCTAAACACTTACTCTCACTTTCTGTAGTTCTAAGGGTAAGAGCGTGTGAGCCAGTGTTGGTTTGTGAGCTTCACTTCAACTAGCACTCTTCTAGAGCACGTTCGTATACTGATAGGTGTAAGAGAGAAAAGCGATGATGTGAGAAAGTAGGGATTATGCATAGGAAGATGTAAGGAAGTAGATCTATAATAGATGTGAAGAACTGTATTTTATATATCAACAAACAGTTTATTGTAGCTGTACGGAAAGCAGAATGCTGACATTTTAGATTTGAGGGTGGGAAAATGAGAGTTTGGATTTTTTTTTTTTTTTTTTTTTTTTTTTTGTGCTACTGGGGTTTGAATTCAGTGTTTCCTGCTTGCTGAATACTCTGCCACTTGCAACTTGCCCTAACCAGTGGTTAGGTTCTTAGTTTGATTTAACTAGGACTGAAATTTTGAGTAAGAAGAAAGCCTGGGGGGCTGGGTTTACTTTCCTAGTCTGATAATTTCAACATCATGGTTGTCTTGCAGTTGCCCTCTGCTGACTGTCTTTTCTCTTGGAGTAGGTTTAATTTTTCTACTTTATGTAAGTTGGGATTGCATCCTGTGCATTGCGAATGTTATATTTTGGAGATTCCGATGGTGTTTTTATTTTACCACACAGTTAAAACTGCCAGCTCCGTCACACCTACAGTGAATGACAATTCAAGTCTCTATAGTTCTTCTGTCCTTCACCAAGGTCTTTGGATTCTGCACTGTGTTTGCATGATTCAGGGTCAGCCAGTCTTAGGCAGAATTTGCATACAGAACTTTTTCTTTTTCTTTTGTCTTTCCCGCTTCCAATTATCTCTGGCTGCTCTGGACTCTGTCCTCTTGTTCCTCAGGACAGAAAGCCTAGGGTTTGTGTTCAGTTAGGATTTCAGCTGGATTACCCTCAGAGCAGAGCTCCAAAAATAGGGAATTAGCCCAATCAGTCCCTTCCAGTTTCCTACTTCTTTCCAAAATTTGCCTTTTGTTCTCTTCAATCACTTTTTTTTTTTTTTTTTTTTTTTTGGTGGTACTGGGGTTTGAACTCAGGGCCTTGTGCTTGCTAGGCAGGCACTCTACCACTTGAGCCATGCCCTCAGCCCTTTTGTTCTCTTCAGATAGATTTTTTGTTGTTGTTTTTTTGGTATTTTATCCAGTTTATAGTTATTAGCTCTAGGAGGGTCATACTGGAAGCAGAATTTCCTAATAGTACTTTTATTCATTATAGAACTATTTTGAGAACAAAAGGACACAACCATGTTTGTGTTAATTTGCTTTATAACCTTGGTGTTTCTTCTCCTGTCTGGGATTTACTTACTCTTCAAGAAAACAGGCAGTTGGACTCTTCACAGTCTGCAAGGGTTCTTTAATCTCTGCCTTTGGATGGACAGACAGACACATACACCATCACCCCTTCACACTTCCAACAGGAAAGATGCCTGAGGGAAGCGATGTGGGTGGGTCTGTGGGGCTGGGAGGCTCTGAAGGACTGCACTAAGAAGGTTGATGATATTTATAGTCTTCCTTTCTTTCTGGGGACAGAGGCAAGTCCACAGAGGATGCAAGAAGTAAATGGCATTCAGGACCAAAAGAAAGAAATTACTTGCTGCTTGCTTCTGCCTTTTAAAAATAAGGAGCCAGTGGAGAGAGCTGAAGACAAATCATAGCTGGGCATTGTGACACAGACTTGTTTGTAATCCAAGCACTCAGGAGGCTGAGGAAGGAGGATCTTGAGTTTAAGGACAGCTTGGGCTACATAGTGAGACCTTGTCTTCAAAGGAAAAAAAAAAAAAAAAGAAAGAAATGAAAACAAATCTGGATCATCTGGAATTTCTGTTTGTTTGACTTTCAGTACTGCATTCCATCCTGTTTTGAAGAGAAAAGCCCCCTGGGCCTTAGTAACATGTCAACAAATTTGGCAGTGAGTGGTGGGTGCTTGGGCTGTAGTGTTCAGGTGGGGTATTGCTGTCACCATTAGAGCTATGGAAGAAACTTCAGTGGAGATAGACTAAATTTTTTTTTTTTTGCAGTACTGTGGCTTGAACTCAGGGCCTCATACTTGCTAGGCAGGCATTCTACCACTTGAGCCACTCCACCAGCCCAATTTTAAAAGAATGGAGAAGAACACAGAAAATTTACTACATGCCTGAGATATGAGAATAGTAGATTTCTGTAGATCAGCTTTACATAGCCATTTCTTTGAGTTCACAATTTTTATGTAGGTATGCAGAGGGAGGTGTGTGTGTGTGTGTGTGTGTGTGTGTGTGTGTGTGTGTGTGTGTAAGGTGGGTTGGGAGGGGAAGAGACAGATTGAAGCAAGGGCAGGACAGGCCTGTGGGCCTGTCCTTGAAGTTACTTGAGTTACTTTACTTTGATCCTTTTTAAAGGGGGCATTGGGGACCTAAAGCTTTCTTCACACCTACCCACACCATCCTTTGGGTGCTGCCCTTAGAATAGATTTTTTTATTTTTATTTTGATTGGTTGTACCAGCCCTTTTTTGTGATGGGGTTTTTGAGATAGGGTCCCTTGAACTGTTTGCCTGGCCTGGCTTTGAACCTTGAAATTCCGGATCTCTGCCTCCTGAGTAGCTAGGATTACAGGCGTGAGTCACTGACACCTGGCTGTAGTTATTTCTATTGCTTAATAATTCTTTTGTCTTCAGATCTTATTGAATTGAGGCTTCAGTTACTCTTCCCTCATTTTTAGGCCATTTGAAAAAAACTATTATTTTTCCATTCAATTCTTTCCTTCTACTCTGTAGGAAGATAGATGCTGGGATGGATTCTACTATGTGCATGTGTGTTTTAGGAATGTAAAAGTCAGATTAAAGGGGTCAACAGTCTTACAAGGAGGTCAGAAGGTGGTCTTCAGGGATGTGGAAGAGAGGGATAGGTAGTCATGATGAAAGGAAGAGGACTTTTGAATGTGAGACCATGTACAAAAGCTTTAGGTCACCACTAACTTAGAACCTATCTTTCCATTCTTCCTCAAGACCAGCACAGACAGGAAGATTTGACCCAGGTCTTCCACCTCTTATAACCAACTGCAGTGGTAAGATTCTTTTTCAACTCTCCTGTAGGAAGCAGCTCATTATAAAATGAGGGAAATTTGCAGAAGCTCTGTTTTTAGTTCTAATTTTTACTGGGTGGTTCTTTTGGGGACTGAGTTAAGATAGCAACAAAATGACAGCATGGTGAAAGGGCTCTTCAGATAAACTAGGGTTTAAATTCTAACTATTATTTATTTACTAAGCAACCTGTAAGACCTTAGACAAGTCAGTTGACATTTTGAAATTTACATTCTTGATCTGTAAGGTGGGGAATAGCATCATATTGAGGGCTGGGTGTGGCTCAAGTAGTAGAGCACCTGCCCTAGCAAGCACGAGGCCCTGAGTTCAAGCCCCCCATCATGTAGTTGTCTTATATAAAACATAGTGCCCAGGATGTGGTAGATACTCTACAGATGTTGTTTTTCTTACCCATCTTCTAGAACATCTTATTTTTAGTGGAATCCCAGCTTTACCTCTAAGGAATTGTGTGACTCATCGTTTCTAAGCTTCGGTTTCCTTCCTTACCACAGGGCATTAGCTAAATTCATTTCTGAGATGCTTCCCAGCCTCAGGATGTCATATGAATGTTTAGACTACTGGGGATATGTAAGTCTGTTAGCTTATGGAGAGAATTCTTGGGACCATATCATCTGATAGAAAAGGGGAAGTTTCTTGGAGCCTAAGTCCTCTTTTCCCAAGAGAGACATAGCCAGCTTCCTTCTTGGTCAGGATGTAGACGAAAACCTTGTCTCTTGTTCTGGCCCGGCACCGTATGTGAAAGTCTATGGATCAGCTCAGCCTTGGTGTGATTAATACTTTACCTATCTCTTCCTTTCTTTTTGTATTTTATGCAGGTCAAGAGGCAGCTGCCATTGAAAGGTCGTGACATTAGGGGAACAGCCAGCAGTATTGACAGAAAACTTAGATTACCTAAATGGTGAGTATGTTGTAAGTGAAGTCTCAGCATGCCAGTAGAATTGGGTGGTTTCTGTAGCCTCTGCCATCTTTTTACCACTACAAAGAAAGGGAGGTTGTGGACGGCCTGCTGTAAGCTAAAAATTCTCCTTTAATTATTCCACCAACCTGATAAGGGTAAAGACTCCTGCAGGAAGTCAGTCACCTTCAGAAGCAGGCCTACACTGCCACTTAAATATTCAGCATATGTCAGGCACAGGTCTGTTTGACATACTCTTTTTACCTTCACTCCAACCCTGTGAAATTAGTGCTGTTAATATTACCACAGGGAAACGAGTTTAGAAAGGTTAAATAATGTCTCCAAGTTCACACAAGTGGTAAATTGTAGGCCTGGATTCTTTTCATTAAACTGTACTATTTCCCTTCTGAGCATGCTGCATTTTTGTTTGAGATAGTGACTGACTTAACCTTTAAGAAGCACAGCAAAACAAATCTTTTTTATTTGGCAATGCTGAGATTTGAACTCAAGGCTTTGTGCTTGCTAGGCAGATGCTCTACTACTTAAGCCATGCCCTCAGCGATTTTTTGCTTCTTGGCTGTTTTTCGGATAGGGTCTTGCCTCAGACTGTTATCCTACTACATAAGGCCTCCTGTGTAGCTGGGATTACAGATGTGAGCCACAGTGTCTGGCTAATTGGTGGAGATGGGATCTTACTAACTTTTTTGCCTGGGCTGGTCTCAAACTGTGATCCTCCCAATCTCTGCCTCCCTAGAGGTAAAGAGATTTTTGATTATCAACTAGTGCTTTTGCTAGGCCTTTTGAGATTTTTGTGTGCTAATCCTTTAGTGGTGGTATTGGTGAAGGCAGTGGAGTGCACCAGTGAAATGGGAGCCAAAGAAGTGAGAACTCGTGCAGCAAATAGCAGATGGACCTAGTGGTCCTGGTTGCTGCTGGCAGCTGGATAACAGATAAAGAAATGTTCTCTGGAGAAGTAGAGCAGTAGGGAAACTAGGAATTAGCCTGGGAAATGGGTTATAGTCATAGGAGTGACTGGATTTAGGGAGGAATGTCCAGACCTTGCACTCATGGCAACCCCTGCCTAGGAAATAAATAGCATAGTTAGAGACAAAAGAGAACTTTTCTTGGGCCTGAAACATGGCTTAAGCAGTACAGCATCTGTCTAGCAGGCATGAGGCCCTGAGTTAAACCCAGGTACCACCAAACCAAACAATAAAAAAAATTAACCTCCAAAAAAGAACACTTGAGAGAGTGGGAAACCTCAAGGCAGATTTTAGCCTGTCAGTTCACTCAGGATTCTTATTCTGTCCCTTTCCCTGGAGCATTTCCCACCTCAGGTTATGAAGTTAGTTTCTGATTGGGTGAGTGGCAGCCAGTATTTGGTCTCTTTTTATTGGAGTCCTATGCTTTTTAATATATATAGTTGGTGAAATTTGGGGGAAAATAATCATTTTCATCAATAAAACTTATTATATACATACCTATTTATACATAGAATGTTTTCTATACATTGGGGTTGGTGGTTTGATCTAAAAAATCATGCATAGCAGAGTTCTTGGAATTTAATATACAACATTAAACAAAACAGAAAAATCCCTTGCTGTCAAGGATTATATTCTAATGGATAGAAGCAGATTAAAATAACTAGATATAAGTAAAGAGAGTGGCATGTAGATAAATGACATCCACTAGGTGTGATGTGTGCTAAGGAAGAAAAAGCAGGACAGGTGATAGAGAGTGATGGGTTGCTGAGGGGTTGCTGCTTTATATATGGTGGCCAGAGAAAGCCTCTGTATTTTAAGCTAAGTTCTAAAAGAAGTGAAAAATCTATCCAGGGAACTATCTGGGAGAAAATCATTCCAGGCAGAGGGAATAGCAGGTGTAAAGTCCTTGAGATATGATTGTGATTTGACCCACGTGGAGGTTAGAGTGGAAAAGAGCAGGTAGAGATAAAGAGAAAGAAGCAATAGGCCCACTCCATGCAGGGCCTGATGGTCAGGGTAACATCTTTGGGTGAATTTAATTCCATGTGAGATGGGAGGTGCTAGAGGGTCTAGAACAAAGTGACATGATCTGAGTGAGTTGTTCAAGGCTTCTGCTGCTGCAGTGAAAAATAGCCTGTGGAGAGTGAGGAAAGGTAGGCAGTGGTAGAAGCAGGAAGGCCAGTTAGGAAGCTTTCTCAGTAGTCTGGGAGAGGGACCAGGGTGGCAGTGGTGAGTGAAGGCATACTTTGAAGGTAGAGTCAAATTTTCATTCTCCTTGTAAAGATGTTTAATTTTTCTGGATAACCTCTGGGTCAGGTGGGTTTGAGGGTATCATTGGAAACATGACCATGATCTCTGGTAAAATTTAAAAATTGAGCAAAAGATGAGAGTGCACTGACCCCCCTAGAAGGTGGCATGTGTTCACTAAGTCATGCTAATTGATAATGATTCTTTTTTTTTAATCTTAAGCCATGATTTTACTTAAACTATAAAATCAAGCTGGGTGCCAATGGCTCACACCTGTAATCTTAACTACTTAGCAGACTGAGATCCAGAGGATCTCTGTTCAAGGCCAGCCCAGGCAAATAGTTTGCACCATCTCCAAAAATAACCAGACCAAGCCAGGTGCTGGTGGCTCATGCCTATAATCCTAGTTACTCAGGAGGCAGAGATCAGGGGGATCATGGTTGAAGCGACTCTGGCAAATAGTTCATGAGACCCTAGCTCAAAAAACCCATCACAAAAAAGGGCTGGTGGGGTGGCTCAATGTATAGACCCTGAGGTCAAAGCAGTAGAGCCCTTGTTTTACAGGTGTAAAGCCCTGAGTTCAAACTCCAATCCCACAAAAAAAAACAAAACAAAACCAGAAATCAGTACAAGTTCATTATAGAAATATTAGATAATAGAGATAAGTTAAAAACCAAAAATATCACACTGTCCAGAGATAATTACCATATGCATATTTGTATGTCAAGACATTTCATAGTTTTTTTTTTTTTTTGGCAGACTGGTTTGAACTCAGGGTCTCCTTGCTCTGTCTATTGAGCTGTACCTCCAGCACTGGGGCATTTCAGTTTTGAAACATTTTCTAAGCTAGAAGATCAGGAATTTGCTATAAAGGCAAATTAAATGTTTAAATACCTAATGCTAAATTAGGTATTTAGTCTCTCTCTCTCTCTCTGTCTCTCTCTCTCTCTTGGTCTTTTGAGGCAGGGTATTGCCATGTAGCCTAGGTTGGCCTAGAACTTTGAATCCTCCTGCCTCTACCTCCTTATTGCTGGGATTACAGCTGGTAATATTTTCTCATGTGATCCCAAGTACAAATAATGTTGACCTAGTTGTGTAGTGCCATTCTAAAAGGCTGTTCTTGGTTATATTTTGTTTAACAGTTTGAACATTAATTGAGGTGAAGATAGAGAATAGACATGCCTATGAGATTTGTAAATAATGAATGTATGCTGGACAGTGTTGAGAATATTTAGACAATGGATTGAAAGTAAGAATTTGAAGTATGAAACATGGTAATACTTTAGGTAAATTTATATGGCACTTAATATGGCCCAGCAGCTAACTTATACTTACATTAACCGATGTACACTTACCATTACCCTGTAAAGTAGGTGTTAAAGCATAGAGAAATCAAGCGACTCATCCAAGGTCACACAGATAGCAAGTTAGTAGTATGTTTGTAAAGTCAGGCCTTGAACTTAGGGTGTCTGGCTCCTAACAAAACTGGTAATGTGGCTGCCAGATAAGCCTATGCAGCCTCGGGTTTCATTATTAGAGTTGCATAGACCAGGTGATCTTCAAGTCCCCGCCAGACCTTTACCCCATTGCTAGTGTCTTAGGTCCTGACTGCTGCGGGAACTTGTTCTAGCAGAATGTTCTTTTGCAAACACAGTTTTGATTGTGCTACTTCCATGCACATTCCTTTGCCCAAAAAACATTGCAGATTAGTTTCCCATATCCACTAAAAGGTGTACCAGGGTGTTTTGGAGGGTCTTTTCCTCTTTTGAATTTGTTGGCTGCATTTAAGAGATTTCATATAAAGTAGGGACTGATCTTCCCCCTTAGCTGTAGTCCTAGGCCTCCAACATTTGCATTATTGGTCTTACCTTGGTGACATTTGTGTTCACAGTGTTTGGCATAAAGGCAAAATACCTTTTTTAGAATATACTTACCTGGTCTGAAAACAATCCCCTAGGTATAGTTACAGAATATGACAAAACTATTCCTTTCATTTATTTACCTAACATTTGTAAGGTTCCATCTTGGCCCAGGACAGAAAAAGGGAAATAACTTAGCCCTAGCTCTCAGAGCTCAGAGTCTGGTAGAGGATCCAAATATATAAATAAGTGCCACAGGTGCAGTGATGGAAGTATTTACAAAGTTTACGATTGTACATTTCTATGGGTGGCAGTTTGAGAGGGCTTCAGAGAACAGATGATGCTGGTTCAGAGAACTTTTGAGGACTGGTGTCTTAGCTCAAAGCTGTAGAGTGCCTGCCTAAATAGGCTGAAGCCCTGAGTTTAAGCCTCAGTACTGGCCAAAGAAAAAACAAACCAAAAACAAAAACAAAAGATGCTTACCACCTAAATGGCATAGGAGAGGGCTCAGAAATGGGGAGAAGGGAGTGAAGGGAATTCCCCAAACATTAAGAGGTCAAGGGCCTCAAATCTACCACTCAGACCATTCTCAGTTACTTACTTTGCACTTTGTCTTGTGCCTGTCATGGCAGCCAGGCTGAATTACTTAAAGTTCCCCAAAGGTAGTATTTTTTTGTTTGCCTTTCTCCCCTTCCCTTCCTTCTAATAAATATTATCTACCCTTTATGTACAAGATACTGTTAATTTAAGGTGTGGTGATACAGAAGTAAAAACAACCAACCAACCAACCAACCAAACAAACAAAGCCATATCGCCCACCTCATGGATCTGATATTCTGGTGAAGAGTCAGACAGTAAAACAAATTTACAAGTAATCACAAGGTTAAATGTGGTAAGAAGAAAAGTAGAGAGC